TCAGCGCTCAAGATTGCGCAAATGAGGACATCGACCCATACAAGGTTTAACTTGGTCTTCCGTACCCACCATGTAACATTTCATGCAAACACCTAAAGTTAGGTACAAGAATGGGCCAAAAAGCAAAGTACTGTGATCATGACTTAATCATAGTCAATATAATGGGTAAAGTTGTATGAATTTTTTACAAAATGAAATACAGTTGCTAAAATATAGGTATAGGCTGTATAAAATCTTAAAATATGAAAGTTACCTTCTCCCTAACAAAGAAGAATGAATAAAAGAATGAGAAAATTGAAGTTGTCTGGTTCTAAACTAGGTCTCTGTTTGTAGGAAGGAGAAGTGCACAGCTGGGATTTTCTCCCACTTGTACAAATATTATTGTCTGAACATCCACTATAAATTTCAATCGGGGATTGATTTTTTTCAGTAAGGACAAAGAGAAGCAGAATAAAACATTGAGAAGATTTTAAAAAGCAAACCTATATTTTAAATATCTGTTCCTGAATTAACCAGTTAAATATTTTTAATAAGATCAGGAGAAAGTAAAGACACTTTTTTGTTAATTTTTTTAATATTCCCATTTTATAGATGAAAATGTTTTATTAAATTCCTAAGCACTGATTAAAATCATTATCAAGGAAAATTCTGACATCACTAAAATAAACTTGTTTAAATTTTAAAAGGATAAAGTAAACAAGCAAATGAAATAGGGAAAAACAATGCAATAATTAGTTAATATTCTTAAAAACTAAGTCTTAAAATCTGTAAGAAAAACGTTGATTATAGCTAAACAGTTATACCATCTGGACAAATAATTCTCATACATGTTTGTTTCTCTCTTTCTCTCTGTCTCTCTTTCCCTCCCTCCCTCCTTCCTCCTCTCTTTCTCTCTCTTCAACCCATAATAATTATCACTTGAAACAAGATTAGCAAAGTAACACAATGAGGAAAAACTGAAACATATAAAAACATGAATATTATCAAACTGACCAAAACAATTAATAATGATACTCAAAATGAGTGACTTTTAGCAAAACAAATTTCCCAACATATAAATGAGGCATTAATATCTACAATGCTTTTACAAAGCCAACCGGCAGACTTTTATGACTCCCTGGGTTTTATGTAGTAAATCAACTATAGCTCTTCTGAGCTAATGAATTAACCCTCAGTTAAAAGGAAGCTTTACAAAAACAACTGCTACGATGTTCGAAGCATGTCCTTCGTGCACCAAGTACAGCGACCTTCACAAAGCGGGAGAGTAGGATTGGAACTCAGGTGTGTGAAGTCCCCCACCTACCCTTCTCAGGTTCATTTCAGCAGGGTCTATGACTTTTGTGGACTGGAAACAACATGTGTTCTGCCAAAGAGAGCAGGAGCAGATCTCTTTTGACATTACAGCTCCTTTATAGGATCGAATACTACACATGCTTAAAATGAGGAGTTTTTCTTCAATTTGCAATAACATGAGAAAGTATGTATAAGTGAAAAAGCAGTACGCAGAATTTACGTCTAGCATTATCTCAAATCCATTAACTGTTTCTCAAAAATATAACACAAAAGACTACATTTAATGCCATCTATGATTGTTGTCGATAGAGGCATTATAGTTGAATTTTCCCCTTCTTTTATATATTTTCAATAATGAGGATTCACTACTTTCATGCATTTTTATTTTTGTAATTGTAAAAATAATAATACTCCTGAAAATATCAGTGATCACACAGACGATACAAGTGTAAACACCTGTACTCCAGAGACAATCTCTGTTTAGAGTTTGCTATACATTAATACATATTCTAGTAGACTTTATAATACACAGGAACTAGTGTATAGAGATTGTGCATGTGTGTGTTTTTAAGAGAAATGGGATTATATTAAATATATTATTCTGCAATTTGCTTTTTCAGTTAATAAGGTATCAAGGATAGCTTGCATTAATTTTATGATCAGAATTTTATTTTTTATGTCATTGCTATTAAAGTGAAGCACACTTTGCCATGACACATGGAATAAGTACCAAGGGACCAGTGGCTCCCTGATAAAGGCATGTCTCCAAAACTTCTGCTGTATCTATCAGGCTCTTGAGTTTGCTGCAGCTACAGATTCCTAAGAACGAAGGAATGAATGAGTGCAACCGTTCCTAGCTTCAATTGCTTAAATTAATTGATCTTTCAATTTTCTTTTCCAATCCTTGTAAATGGTACAGTAGAGATTTAAATATGCCTTTAAGTGTCATAACTATCCTTTTGTAATGAAAAAATAAAATTAAAATAACGTAACTCACTGTATGTATGTGGTGAAGGGTACTGCCATGTTATTTCATGATTGAAGTAAGTCAATCCTGCTCAAACTCTGTCTTTGCTTATAATAGAAGAGAGATATTCGAGACCAGAACATTTTTGTTCAACACAATGTTATCAGACAGCCCAGGAGAACTGCATGTTTACCCTAATATATATAACAGGCAGTATGTATAAGGGTGCACACTAATAGTGTCACATTTAGAAACTATATAAAGACCAAAGTAGGAAGTACTATCTAAACTGATTTCATAAATGAGTTATGCACAGCAGCCTAACAAATTAGCAAGAAAATAATATTTATCAGGCCCTAATTTGAGAAAAGCTATAGTTTAGGTGGGACTTAGACTAATACATGTGAGGCATACGGACTATGTCAAGCAATAGAACATCAAATGACCTATTTCAAGGTGTAAGATTTGCAGTTACAATAGACTTCATTAAAATTTGTTTATAATTAAAATCCAAGCACCTCAGATAAATTGCCTTGAGGGACTCATCCCTGCTGTCCACTGAAACACTCTCATTCACTACACTATGAGATCTTCAGCACTGCAAAGATCACGTTAATCACAGCTCAGAAAGCTACTTAGCCTGCAGGCCAAATCCAGCCTGCCACGTATCTTTGTAATAAAGTTTTATTGTAACAGTGCTATGCCCATTCACCTCCATATCTATGACTGGTTTTATATTACAGTGGCAGCGTGATGTAACAGAGATGCTATGGCCTGTAAGCACTAAAATGTTTTCTCACACTTTTTAGAAAAATTTCATCAATTCTTGATTTAGATTACTGTTTGAAAAACTGACCTCTTAATATCTCTTCTAAGCTTCTCTATACAGGTCTGAGTATTTCCAGCAAGGAATAAAAAAATAATATACATCTATTCTTATTCTAGGGAGGCATTCTGAGTGCTAAGAGGCAGTTTTGTGTAAAGGTTAAGAAGATAGAATCAAATCCCGGCTCCACCTCTGACTCACTGCAAATCTCAGGCAGATTCCTTAAGCTTTCTGTGCCTCAGTTTCCTCATCTTTCAAACAGCGGCCATAAGAATACAATCCTGAAAGGGTTGTCATGGTAGTTGAAAACGTCTCACTCAGCGCAGGGCCTGGCACACAGTGAGGACTTACATTAGCTAATAACTCTTCCCATTATATCATGATGACTGCTGACAATGCACAGCGAGCCAGCACACCCTCCATGTGCTGGTCCTTCCAGCTCTCAAGTGCTGCACGTGCTGTGGTTCTCCATGGAAGAGGGAATGGGGGATCCAGTTAAGACACTATGTGAACCTGAATCTACTGGGCTAGAGAAACATGCATAATGCAGACCTCAGTTTCTTCTTCTGCAAAACATAAAGACTACACAGGAGAATCTCTCATCTCAGCTGAGCTCATCTATACATCTATACAGAGGGCTCAACTATAAGACCCGTTTAGCCTTCCTTATAGAAGAAAACAGGAACTGGGCACTCATAAATCCGAAGGCTGGAATGGTCACCAATTATTCAGAAAATCTCTGGATTCTCTAAAATCAGCAAAGCACTTTGCAAATTGGGAAGAAATATAAGCCCATCCACCATGAGATGGTAGTTTAGTTAGAAAGAAAAACGAAGAAGTTTATTAACAACAGTAGTGTCTTTGCAGTGATAGTATTTGGAATGAGACTGTCACTTTCCCTCACTTTACTTGTTCCTCTCCCACACCACTAGCCCTCTATCCCTGTTCACCCCTCTCTCTCTGCTAGTCTCCCTAAAACTCATGGCAACGCCTAGGTCTAAAGTGCTTAAGAAAGCCTCCAGTGAAGCCAGCATATCTGAGCTGGCCTCTGGAAGATCCAAACAAGCATGACTGGTGGCGGGGACAGACCACTGTGAAGTGGGGGGCCAGTCCCCGCACTGCCCCAGGGCCATAGGAATGAGGAAGCTGTGTGGAGGCCTGACCAGGAGGATCCCTGAGAGGATCATGAGAGGTTTAGCACTAACCCAGCAGGTGCAGGGCACCCCAGAAGGTCCCAGAACAGGAAGTGAGATGACAGTGGTACGCACTGCAAATAAGTTGGCGGAGGTCGGGGGGCGCAGAGTACAGAAGTGACCACAGGAGACAAAACCGAAACCTGACAGGCAGCCACACTGCGAGGCAGAAGATGGTAAGAAGCATCTAAGCCTTTTCAGGTCTTCAGGTTCCTGAGTGATGTGGCGGTGGCACAAGCCCAAAATCGTTTTATTTGAAAGATTTCTGTATCTAACAGCTTGCTCATTCTCTCTCATTTTTTTCTTTTTTTTTTTTTGTTTTTTTGTTTTTCTGTTTGTTTTTGAGACAGAGTTTCGCTCTTGTTGCCCAGGCTGGAGTGCAGTGGTGCAGTCTCGGCTCACTGCAACCTCTGCCTCCCGGGTTCAAGTAATTCTAGGGTTTCAGCCTCCTAAGTAGCTGGGATTACAGGCACGCACTACTACGCCAGGATAATTTTTGTATTTTTAGTAGAGATGGGGTTTCACCATGTGACCAGGCTGGAACTCCCAACCTCAGGTGATCTGCCTGCCTCAGCCTCAAAGTGCTGGGATTACAGGCCTAAGCCACCATGCCCAGCCCACTCTTGTTTTTAATAACAGAAGTAAAGCTCACAAGCTATCAAAATATTTCAATCTGTAATTCTTTTGGTCTCATCACTTCCCATTGCGATGTCTCACTTACCAAGGAGAGAGAGGGTGGAGGCCGGATTTCCTCAGTCATGAATCACACAGACTCCACACCACATGGGCACTCCAGCCCAAGTCTCATACAGCAACACTTCAAAAAAGAAAAGAGAGAGATCACATCAACCCATTTTAGAAGTAGATGTGGTCATCAGTCATGAATTCCATGAAGTTCCATTAATGCCCTGGATGATCAGCAGAAGCTGCTTTACCCATGTAGGACTTAGAGCAGTGACACGGGACAGCTTGGCATCCCAATTATGCTACCCTATTTTACGATCATGTGCACTGATGGATTTTTTCCTTCAGAAAAGAAGAAATCAACATTTAAATGCTGCTAACAGATAAAATAACTCTCATGAAACATCGAAAAGAATCATTATTTCAAACCCATTGAAATTATCTTAAGCAGTCTGAAAATTAAATGAAGATTTATTATATGAATGTGTCCATTTCATGATGATGCTTTCATTCCATTTTTTTGGAACATATGGTACCTTATGCAACGCATTTCAAAAGCAGGAGATAAAGGCAGTAGCACAAACTCTGCTAGAAATTTGAGTTTCTATTTTTATTTACATATTATTAGGTGTCCAATGATGAGGTCTTATAGGAAAAAGAATTATAAATCATGAAAAACAAGCCACTTTACCAAAACCAAGTAAATCCATCCACTCTCTTCATTCAATTTAATATACAAACATTCTGAAAAATTGATGTTGTCATTGGATGGAAAGATGACCACAAAACGCCAGCCTCCAGAAACGTGTATGCCAGAAGCTGAAAAAATAGGTGACTTTCTACCTATCGTCCAAGGACGCCCATGACGTCAAATTCTGCACATCAGGGCTTGTGCTTTTTTCTCTTCTCTTCGTTCATCTATTTTCTCTTTTTCCTTCCCAGGTGGCAGCCTCTGGCTGCGATAAATGTGAAACACCCTGACGTTCTTCTGCCCCACCCTGATGAAGGGAAAACAGGAGGGGGAACTTCCCAGAACATTCTGGCTGTCCCTCTAGGCAGTGATTCCCACACGATCGGCTTCAGTCATTATCCAAGGCCATCTACCTGCAGAAAATGAACTGAATGACAGCAGCAGGAAATTTATAAAATTTATACCTATTGAAGTGCCAATTCAGAACCCCTAAGGGTTGAAAGGCCAGGAAACAGGACGAGGTGGCACTGCCTCTCCATGAGGCTCCATTCCTCCAGGATGGGCCTTTGGTATGTTTGTGGGAAGCAAGGGGTGACCCAGGGCAACACACTGGGAAGTGCCCGCACAAGATGCCCTGGCAGCCCAGGCACCCTCACATCGTGTAGCACGGCCAACCCTCCAGTCCCAGCAGAGTCCTTGAAAGTCCATGATATCATCCTTTGGACAGGACAAGGAGCAGATGCAAATCCTTGAAGTGAAAAGAGGAGCCAGGGGGAAGCACACTCAGTCTCAGAAATATTCCTAAGAGTGGCCAATTCCCTTTTCAGGACATCAGTAATATAACCTTGGGCTATGGCAACAAAATATGTCAGTTGAAACTTCTTTACTAAATGGCATGTTTGAATGCACAAGCTTCCTCTCTCCAGCCCTAAAATCTGTTTTACCACAATTATTACTAAAATGTCCTTGTAGTTGTTTAGATATGAGTTGAAATTTAAGTAATAAGGTTTGACAGATCTACTGGTTACTGCCATGAATAGCTGGCAATTTCCGTAAGTTCCCACGTCTCAGAACTACATTAAAAACAGGGCTGAGAGGTCTCCTGCCTCCCCCAGTGAGGTCACAAATAAGCTAATGTGACCGCTCAGCTGGACAGCCAAGCCACACCTGCGGAACATGGGTCAGTCTCTTAAATGACAAGGAGACAGGGGCCATAAAGAACATTGTGAGAATTCACAGAAGCAAATACTTCAGGAAAAAGACATCCCTGCTGAATCCAGCACAGGCAGGCAGCCGCAGCCTGGATGGCCAGGCGGTCCTGGTCCATCCACCAGACTCCATAACCCAGCCCCTTCCTTGTGGAAAAGCAACACCCACGGGACGGAGCTCTCTTGGCTTGGGGAAAAATACAGCTTCCTACAGAATTTGATGTCAAACAGGAAATCAGTCCCAGCAGCAGGATTTAGGGGTGTCCACCCTAAAGGGCTGTTACTGTGCCTGTGTTTACATCAATGGTGAAAATGATATTTTACCAACCCGGTGCTTTTTGACCAAATGAGCAGTATCAGGACTCTCTACTCCTGAGGGTCAGCCCTTGCATGGGGAAGACAGGGCACTCACCAGGACACCCATATGTGCCTGGGAGCACGCACTCAGCAGCAGAAATGAAAGCATGAAAGCAGAGGCCTTTATTTGGAGCCAAACTAGAGGAACAGACAATGGTTCTTGCAGGGCCAGAAGTGGAGCCCTCCTGTCCTCCCCCAGCAAGGTCATAGATTAGCCAAAGCATTAATCATAAATCACTGACATATTTTCTAGAAAACTGAGAATAAAGTCAAAAGGTAAAGAAACTACAGAGCGCCAAAGGCTCACTCCGGACTGGAAGTTGAAAGTATTTTAAGCAACACATAACTACCCATTTAAGAAGAAACTCCTTATTTTTTATTAACATATAATTTTCTCTGACTCAATTCCATATTAATCACCCTTATTCTTTTCTCTTTGAGCTTAGCATTCACCTTGGTACAACCCACCTCTGAAACCCTGAGTCATCATTTTCAGAGTTCTGCCTCTCAAAAAAAACTGCCACCATGAGCATACATGTACAGAACTAACATGACAACACTTTTGATTTACAAACAGTAACTCTTTCCCAGAAGTTTTGCCCTGTGGCCACCTACACAAGGTCTTCAAATTGTCTCTAAATGAAAGTACATGAAGAAGATTTAATATCAATTATAACTTACTAAGTGCCCATCAGCACATGACTTTCTGCTAAAATATGCAACTTCTCCCTGCCCAACTTACTCAGAATGAGGTAATATGTAGATTTAAACATTATTTTGGGGACCAAAGGTGAGCTGAGTGGTAGCCTTTATCCTGCAGATACATGAAGGAAATTAACATGCCAGGGTAAGACTTAAGAGCTGAATTTAGAAACTGTAAAACAGTAAGGTCACACTGGAAATCAAAATGGACAAGACCACCTGGCATCACAAAGTTCAGTGGAGTGATGAAAAGAAACCCTAAAAGATACAGATTCGGCCGGGTGTGATGGCTCATGCCTATAATCCCCACACTTTGGGAGGCTGAGGCGGGTGGATCACAAGGTCAAGAGATCGAGACCATCCTGGTCAACAAGGTGAAACCCCGTCTCTACTAAAAATACAAAAATTAGCTGGGCATGGTGGTGCGCACCTGTAGTCCCAGCTACTCGGGAGGCTGAGGCAGGAGAATTGCTTGAACCCAGAAGTCGGAGGTTGCGGTGAGCTGAGATCGTGCCATTGCACTCCAGTCTGGGTAACAACAGTGAAACTCCGTCTCAAAAAGAAGATACAGATTCAAGAAATCGAAGAATTCCTGGGCCAGCATTTCCCAAAGGCAAGAATTAGACCAGTGACCATGGCATTTAATTGACAGGCCTCTCATCCTCAGTCCCTCAGTCAATCACCATGCTCAGCACACCGCCATGGCCACACATGGCGGGTGCTTAGAAGCCACAGCAAGAAGCTATTACACTCTCGGGAGCTCTCTATATGATTGTTATGCTATGTAGTTCAATAAATACTATGAACTGGAGGAACGAGAAGTTACTTCCAGACAGAAGAGTCAAGGAAAGATTCCTGAAAAGGGGAAATGTGATGTGGTTCAGGGATGAGTAGGTGATAAGGAGGATATTAAAAGACAGGGCAAAGTATGTTTTCGTGGGTGCATTGCAGGTGAAACGAACAGTAGATGAGGGAGGAACAGCTGAAAGTCATCAGGTATAAGCCAAGAGCCATTTAGGCCAGCACCATGGTGAGTTAAAGCATGAGTTCCTGGTATCACCCCTGGAGTTGGGTGGGAACCCCACCATGGAGCCCACCGTGATAAGAGTCTGCAGGAGTGCAAACTGAACTACATAGGTGAAAACAAGTGATTCTACATAGGTGAAAACAAGTGATTCTGCAAAGGTAAAAATCTAGACTGCAAAGCCATGAGAATCACAGACAGACGCTGGGCTCATGCTCAAGTCCCCGGAGGAAGACAAGGAAGTAAAGGAGGGTGGATTCCAGGTAGGAGGCCAAGTAGCAGGGAGGGTGATGTTGGGAGTGCACGCGAGCAGCCAGCATTGGCCAGCAGGAGCATGTGACACCAGGACTACCGGCAAGGCCACTCGCACACAAGGCTGAGGTTATGAAGGGCTCAAAGGAGCCACTCCAGACAGCTAAGAGAGGGAAAAGTAGATGACACGCAGATCGTAGGGATTTTAACATGCAGAAGAGATGAGACTTCATCCAAAGGAAGGCAGAGTCACTGAATGTTCAGTGTCTCTAAATGGAAGTACATGAAGATTTGATATCAATTATAACTAAGTGCCCATCAGCGCATGACTTTCTGTTAAATATGTAAACTTCTCCCTGCCCAACTTACTCAGAATGAGGTAAGACGTAGATTTAAACATTATTTCGGAGACCAAAGTTGAGCTGAGTGGTAGCCTTTATCCTGCAGAGACATGAAAGAAATTAACATGCCAGGGTCAGTCTAAAGAGCTTACTGAGGAATGAATGTTCTTGAATTTAGGACAATAACTTAAATGATGAAAATCAGAATTTTCTCAGTAGGAATTAAAATACAAAATGAGTAAAGAACATTATTTTGGGAAGTGCTTTCAACCAATGCCACTGGTGTGACTGAAAGGAACAATCTGGAGGACCCAGCACTCAGAGGTGGGCTGTGGGATGAGAAGCCGTTCACTCTGGCTGTACGCACTTCAACTTTCTGCCACTGTCTCCAGCCTGGCTGTCCAGGCTTGCATGAGGTCTTCTCTCACAGCCTCTGTCACTTGTTCCCCATAGGTGGCCTTCACAGGAATGTGCTTGGATAAATCAACACTAGACATTTACAATAGCAATGTCCCTTGGAAGAAAGGCAGTCTCTGTGGCTGGGGGTCCTCAGAAACC